TGAACACCTTTCAGATGTGTATCTGTCAGGCTGGTGCAAAGCTCTTTAATTGTGACTGTTTTAATCCTCACATTTTGTGTGATAGACACTGTTTGTATTTGAATTTCACACCCAAGGAAAGTGAGGTAAAGAAATTTTTCACAGCTAGTCTGAAAAGAATATGCTGCATCTAGCATAGGGGATATACTTGTGACCCTAAGAGGAAAGCTTGAGGAGAGGAGAGATGGTGGACAGAGAATGCCTGTGGAGAGCTACACTTCAGCATCCCCATCAAACATTTTAAGAGTTCTCTTCAATTGCTTTCTGTCTAAGCTGTTACTTTGGGGCGGGAAGGGTTAGGGTGGGGGCTAGAGTTGTCACAGAAACTTTCTATTTCAGTCCCTCTCAACTGTGCATCTGGAGTCATTGATTGACAGCACAGCAAAATTAGGCTCATTGCTCTTCACAGTCAGCAGGAGCACTGTAGCTGGAGTCTGTGTTGATGTCCATGGCCCATATTACCACAGAAAATCATGTGAATGCCCATGGTCTGTGCTGCCCCCTGAAGCCATGTTGATGTCTGGGGACCCTTCTGAGTTCTTGATTCTACTGAAACTGGGGTCGGTGTTGATATCCATGACTGAGTCCATGGTCCTACTGCAGCTGGAAGCCCAGTGTACTCTTAAAGTCACCTCATCTACATTCCTTATTCAAGTGGCTTATAACTTTTGTTTGTTTGTTTTTTCAAGACAGAGTTTCTCTGTGGAGCTTTGGAGCCTATCCTGGAACTAGCTCTTGTAGGCCAGACTGGTCTCAAACTCATAGAGATCTGCCTGCCTTTGCCTCCCAAGTAATGGCACTAAAGGTGTGTGTCACCACCACCTGGCTCAAGTGGTTTCTGACTTTTTAAAAGCAACAAAAATGAGTACAGTTTGATTGCTCAACAAATATGTCAGGCACATCATTTCTTCAGACTAGCTGGGGAGGTACAGACAGGATTCTGGTGAGCTAGTGAATTTACAAAGTTGCTGGTAACACTTCTAGGAGAGCTCAGTTCCCCATTCGACCTTAGCCATGAAACTCACTCTCCAAAGGCATCCATATTTGACTCAGGTTTCCACAAAAGAACTAGTATGATGCTTCATCACATCTCTAATGGTCTAAAAAGATCCTCTGTGGTGGAAGACATGATGTGTAGTGTCTGTGTGAATGATGGCTCAGAACATGGTGATGTTACTGAACTAAAATCAGCTGAGTGTTAACAGGCATTCTGCATGCTTTGATTTTGACTAATATTATTTAGCTTCTAAGTTTAAGAAAGTAAAAATTGGTCAGTGTAAATGGAAGAACACAGAGTGTATCACAGAGAAGTTCCAAGACTGTTCAATCTCTAATCAACATGTCACCCTCCCTGACTATAAAGGCAGGCCATTAAACTAAAGGGTTCCTTGGCATCTGAGATTCATGTTTATGGTTCTGTCAACTGTCAGTTGCTACAAAGATTCAGAATAGCCAGTTTAGGTTAAGTTCTAGAAGATTCTTCCTAGTCAGATCATTAGAGCAAATTAATAAGGAAGTAAACATATGTTGATCCAGTAGCTAATAACCATAATGTAAAGTTTCTTTAAAAAAAAAAAAACAGTGGTAGTCTTTGATCTTGTTTCCTTCCAGTTTATAAGTTTGTTCCTTGTGGCTGCTACTGTAACTTGAAGTTAAAGTAATTTCTTTTCGGTTTTCCAGCCCATGATTGCTGTAAGGCAAGAACAAATTTTCAGTTGCTGTGAACATGGTCTGAATGCCTGGAAACATTTCCTAGACAACTCAGACAGCAAAATATGAATGAGGAAGAGTTTGACACACCACATGACTCTTTAGTTAAGAAAACGGGAACATAATCCATTTTACCTGTGGCATACAAAGATGTGAAGAACAGCTCAGTAGCTATGTGGTCATGTTTTTAAAGTTCTCAGATGTGGATCAGAAAGAACAGAGAATAAACTACTAGCAGTTCTCCTTTACAATAACTTTGCAACAATCCAAAAATCTATTTCCCCAATATCATTGCTGAAATGCATGTCTGTTAAATCAAACAGATGATGTAAAGTGGTAGATAAAAGACATGCTCAAAGTCAGCTGGCTTTTAAAAAAAAAAATCATATCTCTGAATTTTTCATTCCTCTAGTTTTTCATATATATATATATATATATATATATAGAGAGAGAGAGAGAGAGAGAGAGAGAGAGAGATGTTATCCATCTTTGTTTGATTTCCAGTTTTCTTCAAATACCCCATTCATGATTGTCATTTTTCTGCCTCTCTCTCACTTTTAACACATTCAGTATTTTATTTCCCATTCCACTTTGCTTGGACTGCCAGCATCTCACTCCATTCAAGTAACTGGATTTGTGCATGGTTTTATATTTTTAAACAATCACTCTAACAATATCCCAACTGTCTCTAGAGGAAGGAATACAATCTTAAATATAAATCAGCCTGAGCCAAGCGAAAGCATGCTCAAGTAAGGCATTCAATCTCCCTTCCGATTTCCAAAACCATGCTGAGAAATACCTGGGACCAGCTACAGAGAATATGGCAAAGGTGAAAAATGACAGTGTGAAAAGCCCCTGGTTATATCAAATTTTGCTTTTTATTACTTTGGACTTGCCAATAAATCTGAGAGGCATGCCTTTTTAATATGTTTCCTGGGTCTCTGCTAATTCCAGCATTTGGCAAGATGAAATTCCAGTAGACTGTTTGGAGTCCCCTTGCTCCTACAGCAGCTGAACATCTCAATGGGCCAGCATGGAGCAAGAACAATGAGAGTGGCAAACTCCAATCTGTTTCTTTCCTTCCTTCCTAGCTGTCATAGCAGGGAATGCTGATGTTTGATGTGCAGCATATATTTGAGAAACATTTTTAACAGGCTCAAAGTATGTTGTGCAAAAATAGGCAAGCATATCATATATATATATATATGATATATATATATACAATATATATATATGTATATATATATATATTGTATGTCTGTGTGTATATATATTTACACATATATAGACAGGAATTGATATATACATACTGATGCATACTGAGAGAAATGTATAGATATATACGTATGTACCAGTAAGGAATGGAAAAGTGCTTAAAGTTAAAAATGAATAATGCATGATGGTTAATTGAATCCCCAATCTGCTAAAAGGGCCTTAGACATATTATCACATTTATTCTTATAATTATCCTTTTTAAAGATAAAATAGACTTAGTTAAGGGATAATTCAGTGGGTAAGTAGGTAAAGACACTTGCTGCACAACTGTGAGTACATGAGTTCAGATTGCAGCCTGCACATAAAAATCTAGGTAAGGCTGCACGCCCTTATAACCTCCACACCCTGAAGGCAAAGACAAGAGCACTGCTGATGTTTGCTGGCCACCATCCTAGCTCCAGTTGAAGTGCGAGGCCCTGTCTCAAGGAGAAAAGGTGGAGGGTTATAAAGCAGGACACCTGGTGTCCTCTTCTGCACGTACACACACAAACACACAAACACATACATATGGGGTAGGGAGGGTGATTAAATGACTAGTAAAAGCATACAAAGACAAAGAATAATCGGAGAAAGAAGAAGAGAGGACTAGAAGGTGTTGATTCAAAACCCATACTCAGCATCTTTTATGTGTTACCACATTTGTACACATGGTATTCCCTTTAATTTATTAATTAAAGATCAAAGGATGGTAAAGATATTATGTGTCACAGTCAAAAAGCTACTGGATTGAAAACTGTAGCCAACTGATTATCCTACAGTGCCAACCATAAATTCACATTTTGCCTAAGTAAATATGTCTCTTGATACTTTCAGAAAGTAAATTCAGCTCACATAAAAAGTTGTTAACACTTCATTTAAGAATATGACACTTGTGTTTACATATAACAAAATTTCTGGGTCATTCAGTATACAAATAACATGCCAATGGGAACTGAGGCATGTGTCTGTGTGAAAAGACAACTTAAGATGCCCGTCTATTTCCTCAACATCTTGTCTTCAATGCAACACACATAGGACCTCCTTCTGAATGAATTAGGGCACAAGATAGTAATGGCTTGGGGAAGAAAGGTATGGCCTGAAAATTGCAAGGCCAGCAATGTAATAAGCTCCATCACTCATAAGGAATTATACTGTTGTTGAGCTAGATTCATAAATTCAAAAGATTGCAGAAACTCAGCTAGAATAAACTCAAGATGTTAGGACTCCACATAATTCAATCAGTGAACTCATTGTAATAAATTCCTTTTCTAGCAGCAATTATTAATGACTATTTTTTCCTTTGTTGAGACTACTCCCAGAGAACACAGATGAAACTTTTATCCCAAAAGTTATTTTCTCTTTAACTCTTTATATTTGTCTTCACAAAGTCCATTTTAAAAACATAAAGTTAGGAGAGTATAAGGTCAAAGGTTTTTACCTTCACTGTGTATGTACCCTATGACAGGCATTCTGCCAGGTTCTTTACTGAAGACCGGGCAGGTACTATCAAATATGTATTGAATAGGTAGAGAAAATGGCAAAATAACATCAGTTATATGTCCCGAGTCGTATCAGTAAAAAACAAACTCCCCATCAAACTCAGACTTTTAGCCTGAGCTCTGAAATGATGCCCGGTGAATTCATAGCTGTTCAAATGAGTCTATTCAAAGGAAGTAGAATACAAGATCATGCCAGCAAGGGAGGGCTATGCACTGTTTCAGCCCTGGACCTTACAGTTTTTAAAAGATACAGCTAAACTGGAAATTGCTTAGAAAAAGAGCAATCTAAACAGTGGAGGGCTCACAACTACCTCGGTTATAGAAAGATCTTGGTGGCTAGCAATACTCAACCTGGAGAAGAAAAGGCTCACTACTCAGCTGTCTTAATATATTTGAAGAGCTGTGCTGGAGGAAGTGAAAGTAGCCAGGGAAAGTAGAGCTCATAAGAGATCGTCTACAAGATTCTTTGACAGACTGTTTCCATGATGTATTCCTCAGGACTTCAAGGAAGTGGAGCTATTTGAGAAGACTGGTGAGATGAGCCTGAGACTGAAATATTTGTGAGTGCAATCTGATGGTGGCAATTGATACTTAGATTTAACTCATTTATGGGGTTTCTTGTATAGGCCATAAAAGGTGTTGTTCGAAGGAAATTTAAATATAGAAATATTCATGTTAAGCTAAAGGCCTTTCTCAGGCCCAAGAATCAACACATAAATGCTTCATGATTATAGCACCTCAAAACAATGGGCTAAGCTTCCTGGGAAACTCTGTGGGGAATTTGAATGAGAATGACCTCTAGGGGCTTATGTATTTGCGTGGCTGGTTCCCAGTTGGTGGTACTGTTTGGGAAGGATTGGGTCCTTCCTAGTGCTTCTCATTCTTCCTAATGCTGCAACTCTTTAATAGAGTTCCTCATGTTGTGCTGACCCTTCCCCACCATAAAACAATTTCATTGCTACTTCATAACTATAACTTTGCTACTGTTATGAATTATAATGTAAATATCTGTGTTTTCCAATGGTCTTTGGTGTCCCCTGTGAAAGGGTTGTTCAACTTGCAAAGGGGTCACAACCCATAAGTTGAGAACTACTTAATTAGGAAGTATGGCCATGTTGGAGGAGGTGTGGTGTCACTGGAGATGGACTTTGAGGCTTCAAAAACCTGTCCTCTCTCTCTCTCTCTCTCTCTCTCTCTCTCTCTCTCTCTCTCTCTCTCTCTCTTCTCCTGTCTCTCCCTTCTTTCATGCCTTTGGATCCAGACATAAGCTTTTAATTACTGCTCCAGTGCCATGCCTGCCTACCTATTACCATGCTTCCTACCATGATGGTCATGAACTCTAACTCTCTTGAACTGTGAGCACCAGTGGATTGTTTTCTTTGGTTTGGTTGCAAGGATTGGTTGCCTTGCTTATGGTCTCTTATCACAGCAATAGAAAAGTAACTAAGACAACCCCTTAAGGAAAAGAAGGCAGTGAGAAATGACTGTGTGAGTTCAACAACATCAGCGTTTCAGCTCTACAATGGGGTTCTAAAATGGTAGACACAGGACTGTGGGGAAATACATGAAAGAAATAATGAGATAGCTCATAAAAGGTTTTTAATAGAAAAATCTGTTGACGTTAAAGGACATATCACAAGTTTGAGAGGAAACAGTTTGGTCCAGTCAATACAGACTCTTTCTTGGCTAAATGTCATTGTGCACCTATCTGTGGAGTGGGTAGATGGCATAAGTATTTGAACTAATTAACTTAAAGTGCAAGTTCATTTTTAAAGTGCAGTGACATCATCTTAATGACAAACACAAAGAGAAGGTATAGCCGAAACAAAGACCCAGGAGGCAGAATCAGTTACAATGTCAGCTTTTATTGAAGTGATCTTCCCCCATGAACACCACACATAGTTTTCAGAAGTCACCATTGTCACATTCTTGTCATGTGTATTCCTCTTTTGATCTCAAATGCTACTAATACCTACTGTAGGAACCACATCCACATAGAAGCACAAACACAAGAGTTGTTGAGTATTCAACTTAGACCACAGCATACCTCCATCTGAAGTGTCAAATGGCTCCTCAGATTTCTTCACCTTTCACCATTTTTCACTGGTCAGGTTATAATTTCCATTGTGAGACTAACTGTGATCTATATTTGGAAGCAAGAAACAACTGAATTTTAAACTTCATATATCCTTGAAATCTTTGGTTTGCTGACACTCAGTACCTTTCCAAGTCCGCCCTGATAGTTCTGGATTGAAATGTACAGCTACAAAGACAGCAGGATAAACAGTCATTCCCTTATGAACAGACTTGAAATGTGTGTCTCCCTATGCTATTCTACTATACTTTTCAATTTCACAGAGATTAACTTCAGTCTAGATTCCAACCCCACACCCTTCTTGCTCAAGATGAGATTTATCCTTTCAACTTCCTAAGCCAATAACAACACAGAGTACATAGAAAAGGATAAATTGTACATGTTTCTAAGCCATACACTGTGAAACAGGGAGATGTTTTTAATTGAATTGTTGATCTTAACTTTCTCCAAGTAACAGGAATTTCTAAATTAGAATTCCCAAGTGCTCCCAAACTTTCAGGATTAATCTCTAGCATGAAGATCCCAAACATACCTATAAATTGTAGTTACTTACTTAGGTCAACAGAGAAGCTCAGGGATGGTGAGTGAAGATAGGAATCAAGAGACACTTGTCCACAGTTCTGAGATCAAAGACTTTTCTTGAGTATGCAAAGAACCATGGTTTAATGCCACTGTTTCCTGCATTTTGAAAAGTATAGGAAATTACTTAAGAAGTCTAGGAAAATTATTCTCATCAGCTGCCTATTTTTATGTATTTAGAATTTGGCTTTCTCCCTTTTGAAGGTTAGACCAATTTATATTTTCATAGTGCTCCCTCTTCTCTCACATATGCTTATATTCATTTATCAGCCTCCATATCACTAGACTACAGACTTCCCATATTCTGAAGATTAGCCCATAGTGGATCAATAAGTATAGATATTTTCAACAAGCTAAATAATTCCACCATATGTTGAACCCATCATTTCATAAATCTACAAGGTATTCAGCACACACATAACCATGCCTCCTCACAGCTTATAATGGAGTCCAGCATAGAGCATCAGTTGTTCGCCATCGCCATCTGGCTAACTGAAAGCCACAGATCTCTTTTTTCCTCATTATGAGAGACTCTTAAACCACATATTTCTATCCCAGGAAAATATCAAAATTCAAAAATATGGTTTCTGTTAAATGAATATAAATTGAGGATCAGTTGGATACTATCTGTATTTGTAGAACGAAGAATTAATGAATAGTAAGGCAGTTTATTTTACTAATGTCCACTTCATTCTAAAGCAGTCCTACTGGTAGAATTTACACATTGGGTCCCACTCAGATTGAGACAAATGGAAAACACTTAATATCTCTTAAAGGAGTCCACTTTTGCCAGTGAGGCTAGACAGTGCCTACAGTCTCTTAAATCTGAAGCAGAAAGTGAAGCATGTGCTATAGAATGTAAGTCTGGATTTTCAGAGCTCGTTGGCCTATTTCTCTGCAGGAATATTAGTACATACTACCTCTGGTCACCAGTGAAGCCACCATTTTAAATGATGCGCTTGGAAAAAATGTTATTATTGACTTGGATTCAAAATGGTAACTGAAGAAGAAAACACAGCACATTTCCAATCATTTGTATTTATTTTACTTACCAATCATAGTTTCCCCTCCCTTCTCCCTTCCCATTTGTTCCGCCCACCTCCCTTCTACCCCCTCCTCAGTTTCCATTCCGATGTGGTAAGGCCTCCAATGGAAATCAACAAAGCATTGCATATCAAGTTGAGGCAGGATCAAGCTCCTCCCCCTGCATCAAGGCTGAACAAGACATCCACCATAGGAAATAGGTTTCATAGAGCCAGATCATACATCAGGGCCAGGTCCTGGTCCCACCACTAGGGGTCTCACAAAAGATCAAACTGCACAACTGTCACCCAAATGCAAAGGGTCGGTTCCTTGCTGGTTCCCTAGATGTCCATCCAGAGTCCATGAGCTCCCACAAGCTCAGGTCAACTGTCTCCGTGGGAATAACTCAACTTTCTAAACTTTCTTGTAATCAAATGTAACAAGGGAAATGCTATGATTACATGATGATAATGAATAGCTTTGTAAATGTATTACAGGAATGGCCTCATGAATAGGTTTCAATAAAAGTGGAGTACAAATATCTTTCTTAAATACTCCTTTGGATATTAGCAAGGGAAAAAAATAAAAAAGCATCTTTATATAAATGATTAAACATTAAATATTATTAATATAAATTAGCAAATAATGCAATTTCTACAAATAGCTCATAGACACTGGAGCATGTTTTAGTTTTTGCTCATGAGATCATTATAGTCTGGCTTCAAAGTGGGAACCTCATCCTCATTTCACAGCTAGTCACACCTATTCTCAGGGCATGCAATGCCATGAAATCTCAACATCCAATACCACTTCATCTTATTTACACAATGATTCTGTCAGTCTCGGGGTCTCCCTCCTGCCCTTGTTCCAGATGCTTTTGATTCAGAGATAAGTCCATGACATGGCCCAGGCAAGGCATTGAGAACAAAGTAGAAGTTGAAAAAAAAAAAAAAGCTTTTCAGCTTCCTGGAGGATGCATCTGGGAATCTGGGATTGTGTTTTTTTAGTTCTCACTGTCTAGACAAGGACCTCTACATCCCTTAGTTGTTAGCATTCAGACTGTTTACACAATGAGATGACACTGCAAATGTGGAATACAGAGGCAAAAAAAAAAAAAAACCGAAAATGTGGCTGTTTAAATATACAGTAAGGTAGCAGAACCAAGCCTCCCTCCTGAATCAATGTATCTGTTTATTATAATATCACTATAAGTCAGGTGTTGGATAACTTGCAGTCATTCATATTCAAATTCATCAACAAACATGTGCTATGGATCTGTTAAGTGCTAGGCTTGGGATCCAAACATGGTTAAGACAATCATTTATGCCCGAAAACAAATCTGTTAGGAAAAGTAAAAATGTAAATACCAAGGTGACGTAGTGAGAATGATCTGGGGGAACATAGCTTACAAAGCTTTGTGGAAAGAATGCAAACTGACTAACATGTTGTGAAGCTCTGCCATTCTTGGTGCTAGTGGTGAAGACCTCTCTCTCGAAAATATGCCATTCTACAACTTCTAGACTCCAAGTTTAGTAAATCAAGATTAAATGCCTTTTTAAGAATCAAACTAAAAATCTGTTAAGTCAGTTTTCTCTTACTGCAAAACATCTGAACAGGATCTTTGTGGAGCAGTGTTTGGGCAGTTCTAATCCATGACTGACTGGGAAATTTGAGCTTGGATTATACAGACACAACACATCATGGTAGATGAATGGCTGAGGTAAACTACTCACTTCATCACCCAGGAGGCAAATGAAAAGGATGAAAATTCCAGTCTCCTTTGAGTTCATGTCCTTAATGACCTAAAGAGCTTCTCTAGGCTCTACTTCCCAAAGGCTCCATCACCATTTATTAACACTACCT